TAATGATTTAATGTTTTTTTAATATCTTTTTACGGTAATTTTTAAGGATGGCCGTTCCAGTAAAAAAATTTTTATGTTGGTAAAAAAGCAAAAAGGTAAATACCTCTACACTAACTAGGCTCATTAGAACAGGGTTAAAACATAGAAAATACTTAAACTGTATTTTTTTTGTTTTTTTGTTATTGACATTTTTTAGATAATAGTGATAATATTTATTTTTATTTCTTATCATTGATAATTATTACTTGTCAGCAGCCAAATAATGAATATGTAAAGTATTCAAGTTGACAACTGTACTACCATAGTAAAGCCTCGAAAATTTATATTAATATAGGGATTTTCAAGAAGTCCTATCTCACAAAACATATCGTCAAGTGATTAAAGCTCCAAAGTTGTTGGTGACGGATTAAGTTAACAACATGAAAATGATACGATTTCATCCTTATGTATTTTTTAATTTTTTCGTGTTTCTGAAGTAAACGTTACGTTTGCTAAGACAAACAATAGGCTACGTTTACTCATAAAAATTAAATTTTTGCATCCGAGGCAAAACTGGTACATCTTAAGAACGTTCATCACACACACTTTTTTTCTGACACTTGAAACGTATATTCGTTACATGAAAATATCCCACACGAAATGTCATGTCAGATCGTTTCACTGTACACCATTTTTCATACATTCAATTTACACAAAACTGACTTTAATTCGTAACCTTATGAAAGGATCACCTAAAATAGCACTCATAAGGAAATCTTGCGTAGAAATTTCCCTATATTTTTGTGATATAGAATACTAAGTAAATGTAAACACTTATTTTTCTTCTCTTTTTCTTTAGAGATGTTCAAACGGTTCGAAGAGAAAAAATATAGTTTACATAGGGGCCAACCAGGGGTCTGATCGCGACAACGATTTGTACCACCATGTACAAAAAATACACCAGTCACCCAGGTTACCGTTACCTACTTTAAATTGTAATACAGCAATTGAAGTAAAACTTGTAGAATTTACGTGATCAGTAAAAATAAAATTAATGTTTTTTTTAGACAAAAACTCAAAAAATGTTAGCAAAATTGTGTTATCTTTGAATAATGTGCAATGGACATTGAATTATATAACATAAATGTGTTCATAAATAATCATGATCAATGCGCGTTATTGACTTATTATTAACCACATAGCTCATGCAGTGTGAAAACGTTGTAAATAGAAAAAAAAGAAAAAAATGTGTGTACACCCGGTATACTATTGCGAAAAGGTGGAGCTTGTTCACAAATAGGAGTATATCCGAAACAGATTTTCGATACCCTCAACAGCGGGTCGCGAACCTTCGGTTATCTTCTGGCAACTTCATAACCACTTGGCCACGAAGTAAAGCTCTTATTTCGAAAGAGTTAAAATTGTCTTCTTATAGATAAAACAATGCTCTAACGCGTCAAACTCGTGAACATCTTGATTGCCTAGCATATATCGGTAAGTATATCTATATGACCGACCAACGTGTCTGTAATCGGTTATATATAGATATACTGCTATGATGCTAGGCGTAGGCCCAAAGCGTTCTCGATTTCCTCTTGTGAGGGCGCAGTTTGGAAAGTCATCTGGACGCATTTACTATAGAAACTTTAAACGGATTTTCGTGAAACCATAAAAATATCTTTCACGCAAAATGTCAACGTTTTACTGTACTATTTTAAATCGGTTATATAAAATCAGCAGCAGATATACTAAAACACTTATTAACACATTTATTTGAATGTTTTACAATGCTTTTCAACGCGATTTTTTATGCTGTTTATGAAAATCTTTTTTAATGTAATACACTTGGGTTGGCAATTAATGTAATGGATAAGTACTTATGAGCAATGAGGCTGAATTAAGTGATGCTTAAAATGCGTTGAGGTACATAAAAAATGATTTCGAGTTCAGCTAGATACCGATGATTTAATCTCGTTAATCATATACATTTTCGAGGATTCCAAAATTTTATTGTACATTTTATGTTATCCCTTCCAATTAAAACCTTTAGCCGTACACTTGTCAACGCGTCGATCAGCACTTGTATAATGATATCACCAAGTGGCATTAATAAAATCATGAATCAATCATCACGAGCAAATCATTGAGTATCCTCGTATGAATAAAGATCATTTGACAGATCATCTCATCAGTGTAGAACACACTATGGTAGGTAATACATATACCATATCGTCCTTTCTAAATCTCTGTAACACGCGTGTTTCTTTTTACCACTGCGGATGACTGGTCTCACCTCCTCGCCCTGAGTTCACGGAACCATGTATTATACCTACAGGTATGTTATATGCACGTATACTCGTGACACACGACAGCTTGCACGGCCATCCAGAGGTGAAATCTCGGTGTTCCTGTTCCAGTTTTAGAGGACACAACCGACGCACCATCTGTAAAGGTATCCGCGATTCTTATCGCTCTAGCACCTTACCTTTTCTTTCTTTCCCTTTTTTTTTATTTTTTCTTCTCGTCATCACATCGTAAGCAGGTATAGGTGCAGATATTCTTTATCGTTTTCTCGGATGGTCTCTTTGTTCACAGCAATAACGACGCGATTGTTGCACGCGTTGTCTATGTACCCTAAGCGATGGCTAAAGAAATCCGATATACGAGTGGGAAATAATGTGCGCTATATCGTTTATACTTTGCGTACGTAAAAATTCAATCGAGTGAAAAAAAAAAATTCATTAATCGCAGGATTTGGTTGGCGAATTGACGTTTCAACGTGTAAAACGCACGAGCGCATGGATATGCGTATATAATATCGTAGCAAAGAATTTTCGTTGAAACTATAGCGTTTGCATCGCCCAACTCGACCGACCATCACGAACCCGAGTACCGTAAACAATAAGTATTCCAAAGCAAGAAAAAAAAAAAAAAAAAAAAAACTAAGATTGATACGAGCTCATCACTTCAACGTGAAAGTAGCTCATGATAAATCATCTCGGATCGCATAGCGGGTGTCGTTGCACTTCTCATAAGTTGTACATCAGGAGTATACACGTGAGCGCGAATCGCGCGCGTGTTTCGATCTCGCGTGAAAAGAAAGTTCAGCGAATCTAATCGAGAATCTAGTTTCATCTACTCGCGTGTTTCGCAAAAACTTCCGTTCGTCGGGGGAATTTTAAATCATCCAGCTGAAAGGTATTTCGAAAGTTGTGGGTTTTTTTTTTTTTTTTTTTTTGGTCTTTTTCTTCGCACGTACAAGTGAGAAAATTTCTACGAAAATGCCAAGTTGGCACTTTTTTCACACTGATAAACAAAACGTTTTTGGTGCCACAAACGTTTTTATCTTTTGCCTGCGAGTATCGTGTCTCTAAGTATTATGATTTCATTCAACAACAAATCTCAAAGAAATATGATTTTTTTGGTATTCACAAATATTATAATGTAGCACTTAGTAATGATTTGATATAACTTCACCATAATTAAATTAAGATTTTAATAAATAATAAATAAATTTTTGTTTTTTCGACAAAAGTGTATTTTTTTATAGAAATCTTTATCATTTATCAACATTCACAATGCAATACTGAAAAAAAATTTTTTGTGTAGCAGATAAATGCAATCAGTTTTATAAAACATAGCTTACTGTAATGTATTTGAATAAAACATTCAAGTATTTACATTAAGTAGTTTTTAAAATTTTTATTCATTTTATTGATTTATTTTCTTAATTTAAATGCAACATTTTTGCTCAAAAAATAGCACTAAGCACTGTATTATAAATAATTATAAAAAAAAATGTTTTAACATAAACAATGTATTATATTTTTAGCAAAAAACTGTTTTCATAACAAAACTGTCAAAATATCCATTGCCAAATTCACATGTAATCATGAAATAAAATAGATTGTTATTTAATTTTACTACCAATTGAATTAATTGTATTCAACAAAAATATACCGTAAAAGGAAAGACTTGTTGATTAAGCGATTCATTAACAATCGATTATTAATACAATCAGCAAAATATTTTGGCCACTTAAACAATACCACGAAAAATCAAGTATTTTTTTGTTGTTAATTTGATTTTTAATAAAAATACTGAAAAAAAAAGTTCACTACATGTATTGTAGTATCAGCAATAATTAAAGAAACGCGTAAAAAACCGCTTTTACCAATAAAAAAAAAATATATATATTTATAAGTAATAATCTCTGATAATTCGTC